GCAGTTGAATAGCGTCAAACGTAGGTGTCGCTAGTATACTCAGCAACAGGTGTCGCTAGTGTATACTCGTACATGTTTTTCATGACATTCACAGCAATGTTTTACTACTGAATTAATTAACAGTTCTTTTAATATCCCTTTAAGTTTTACAACTGAAAACTAACCACCCTCCTCCCCCCAAAAAAGATTCCCACCCACAAGTGCCCATGGTCAATGGTTAGGTAAAAGGATCAATACTTTTGTGTCGTAACATTATTCGACAGCTGACCACGCAGAAACGTAAACCACAAGTGAGATAGACCGAGTGGTGTGGCAGGAATAGGTAGAAAATGTGGTAGGTATGCAGAAAGTGTACGTGTCAACCGCCTCTGACAGTTTCGTAACACGCTACCAAGGCACCAAAACTACTTCCGTAAATGTTCAAATGGTTGCTAAATTCGAATTTACATAGCTCCAAATACTAGCCTACAAACATGTCAAACTCGAAAAAGTGAACCGAGGTCATCAAAGGTCAATGACCTGACCTGACCTTCGGGTGACCTTGACATCCACCCTCATGCATGAGAGGAACATCAAATCACATGTTTGAACGCTTGAAACCACGAAAAGACTGCAAACGCGCGGCTAATACGAGCCGACACGCGCTGAATCGCCATTCTGACCAAACATGGTCTCGGAAAGTAGGTCACAGGTCTAAGGTCATTTGGGTTAGGGTCGTGAAATTTTCAGGGTAGGTGTAAAATTAATCAACGCGAGGGTAGGTACTGAAAGTTACGTTGCGATCAGCCGCTAGTTACGCGAGTTATTTGCGAAAAACTTTGGGGGGGGGGTTGCATCAACCCCCCCCCCCGTGCCGGCGAGGGTTAAGGAGCCTCTGGCTACCAGATCTTGACTAGAAACCAGAAACCATGAAATGATAATTTCACGCTCTAAGATGCAGATTCTGGTGCCTAAACATCGTGTGAACACACTTGACATTCCAATAGCAGCTCATTCGGCTCCGTTATAAGTCCAGGGCTGCGCAGTCGATGGATTTTCGGTGACTGACTCTGACTCCGACTCCGACTCCGGATTCCAAAAACCAACTCCGACTGCGGGCATACATTATTACCTATCGACTTCAGCCGAATCTATTTCCGACTCCCACTCCGCAACCCTGCCAGGTCTGCGGAGTCGATTGATTTTCGGTGACTCCGACTGACTCCGGCTCTGGTTTCCAAAATAGACTCCGACCCCGACCCCGGTCACAACTATAGTTATAAATGACATGTCTGTGAATAAAAGCAGTTTCGGGTGCAGCCACTCCCTTTTGCTTTTCACACTCAATAGCTCGTCCAAAACAGGAAGATGAACAGGAACTCAGCTTAAAGGTAGTGTGCCACCTTTAAAAGATTTCCCATTTTATTTTTCCTAGGATTAGAAGCTTCTGTTTTTACCTAATATCGCGAAAAAAAATCAAAAATGGGCCTGGAATAGTGCTTTTTTCGCCTAAAAGTTTATCGGTTTTTCGATATGTATAACAACTGTAGTGGGCTGACCTGCAAACAGGCGTCGGCAACAATCGCGAATGCGGCGCACATGTGACAATAAGCAAAGGTCATTATAGAGTTACGACGTACGGGAATGAGTTATCAGCTGTCTACTGTTAACGCCAGACCCCTTGAGACCCTAATTTTTCGCGATTACTTTTAAATGCGTGAAGGAATTTCAACCAAGCTCAGGACATGGCCGTTTCAAGACAGGCCGAAACTTTTACAATTTAGATATTTTATCGCCATTTCAATATTTCAGGCACTTGTCATTGACTCGTAATGTTAAATTTCGAGCAAGATTTTCATCCGGTGTGTAGAGGCTATCACCAGTCAGTCTGTGATACGTTATGACGTCACAGCTAAGCCCCGCCTCTGTGGTCTTGGCCTGCGGCGGTTTCGGGCCGGCGCGCGGTCACTCTCGCTGTGGCGGGGAGCGGGGACGGGCGACGGTCGAGCGGTGCCGAAAGCCGGCGGAGTTGTGCGTAGCGTCTTGGCTGACAGTGCCCAGAGAGCGACATGATGACTAAGGAGTCATAAATGCTCAATGCGCATTGCTTCTACAATGCTGATATGTTCGCTGATATTTTTTTTATATAAGCTGCATATGACGGGCAGATGGCATATAACTGACATAAGGTAAGGAAATATTCACCTGTATTTAAAGCCTATGGCGTTGCAGATAATGCGATAATGGGATGTCGGATGTCACCAAGTAGCTGCCGATTTGTCATTGACATCGCTATGCAACCATCGAACAACGCAATAATAAGTTAATTGCCTGAGCTTCACATCATACGGCTCGCTCGTATTTCACACAGATACCCTACATCGAAAATCGTATTTGTTAGGAATCGTTAACGTTTGTTCGAAGCACGACTGAGTAGTAGGTTGAGGAGTGATGGTCCTCTTGGTCCTATATACAAGAGTCAACAAGAGCCTAACATTTACTTGACCGTCTGCTGCAATTGACTCATAGCACGTGAAGCGTCAGCGAAATTCATAGTCCTTCACAGATGGCAGGGGTGTCGTTTGTACAGAGGTCGCTGATGGGCACGGGTCAATGCCGCAGTCGTGGGCGGAGCCTAATGTCATATGACGTAGAAAGCCTCTATCCAGGATGGAAAAACAGTTAACATTACGAGTCAATGACAAGTGCCTGAAATATTGAAATGGCGATAAAATATCTAAATTGTAAAAGTTTCGGCCTGTCTTGAAACGGCCATGTCCTGAGCTTGGTTGAAATTCCTTCACGCATTTAAAAGTAATCGCGAAAAATTAGGGTCTCAAGGGGTCTGGCGTTAACAGTAATCGTAGACAACACAATGTCGAACTTAAACTGTAAGCCTGTATTGGTATTGTTTCTTTAATTTGGCCGTCGAACATTAATTTATGGTTTGAAATATTATTTTATGTAAAATAATTGATATGAAACAGCCGTCTCTAAAGTTATGAGCCCATCCCACCACATGAAAGTGGCAGAAATGACAATGATCAGCTGACGCATTTTTCTTGGCCGAAGTCAGAGCGCGCGGCCCGACGCACCACCACCGCACCACAAAGTATGAGCAGAAGCCGCGCCCAAAGCCAGGGCCCCGGTAACGTGAGGTAGCCGAGTCGGGGCAGCGTGCGCTGACCCAAGCCGGGGCCGCGGCTTTGGGCGCGGTCTACCGCATCCCCGCGGGCAGCCCCGGGCTATCACATGACACCGGGAGGACGCGCGGCCCCGGCTTGGGTCAGCGCACGCTGCCCCGACTCGGCTACCTCACGTTACCGGGGCCCTGGCTTTGGGCGCGGTCTACCGCACCACCTAACAGGCGTGTTCGAAACCGCAGGAGATGATGATGAACGGGTTTATCGAAACTTGATTGGATGAGCCTATCGGTAATAGCGATTTCAGTGTGTGCATTTATTGTTCATAGTGGTGTGAAATATGGTTGGGGTACGACCGACAACCCGTCGGGGCGAATTTCGCACTGGGGTACTCAAAATTTGAAGAATTTAAGACGTTTCCATGAGTTTTGAAGGTATGGATAAGTTCTAAAAATCAGGTTCTCCTTATCTGGGCCATTAACTCCATACGGTCCATGAAAGCTGGCACACTACCTTTAAACATCTGTCTTGGAAAGGTCACCGAACGTAATATTTTCCCGCAAACAGACGAAGACCACGAATTTGAGCAATGACATGTCGACTAAGACTCTGAATCCGGACAAAACTGTCGACGCCGATCGACTCCCGACTCCGACTCCGCAGTCCTAAATTTTATTCAACGGATTTCCATGAGAATTTACGCCGGCAAAATGCAGATAAACGTGATCCTCTCGTCATTATGCGTCAAATAAACTTAGAATTAACCACAAAAGTCATTTCGACAATTTTACGTCATTTGAAGGTCATGCCCTGACCGGAAAATGCCGTAAAGCATATCAGTCGATCTGTATCGTTGGGCTGAACACATCTAAGGTATTGTGGTTGCTCTATCACTAATCATATACCTATCTGTCCAAAGTTTTGTTTAAAAAAATAACTGCTGAAGACCATTCTTGACCTGAAATGACCTTAGGGACATAAAGAGGGGTCACCGGTACAATGCTGCGCCTCTTGGGGCACCATATGCGATGAGATCGGTGCGTGGCGATTGACGTATACCTCGCTGTTTCTGCCTTTGAGCAATTTTTGTCTGTTTTGTCTGCTAAAAAAACAATAAACACATTATCGAGCGTAGAAGCATACTTTTCTTACGTACACGGTACAAGCTTTGTCCAGTTTGTCTGTAAGCACCAGCAAACATTGCAAGCTTCAAGGGGTCAATGCCCTGGGGCTATGACGTCACGCAGGGGATCGTGACGTCAGCCGTGGGGTTGCCAGTCTAGTATGAACTAGGCTTCGACCCCTCCTGTCTGGTCTTTAGGAAAACGGCAGTGGTAATGAGGGCCTGTGGAAAAAAAACTTCTATATTCAATGACTTTCTGGATCTGCCATGCATCGTAACAGTCCGCCGAATTGTTTATTTTGATTTAACTGAACCCTGGCGGACTCTGTTGATTAAACCAGAGAGGAAAAAATCATAGTCCGCATGAAACTCACAGTGAGCACGAATTGATAAGCTGGCATACATGTCAGTGTTCATGTACCTGCTCACTACTTTTTCAGTTTTCAAAGTTTTAACACGTGGTACTGTGGCTGAGCTTTTTATACTCATTCTTAAGTTCTACATTGAAGTTTCTATATTATATTATCTTCATAATGTATTTTTTTCTGTGTGTTTCATGTTATTAAAATGTACTTCTGCCTGTGTATTTGTTCCTTTCATACCACTTGCCGATACCTATTTTGCGAATTGTATCCACCGTGTATTCACTCTTGATACTTCGTGCTACAGCTTTCAGCTGCTGCCATTGTAAAGCTGAACAGCGTACTCGTTGTGCAATACACGCATTGAACTAACGGCGCGTTTCTTTCTGCCAGCAGTAGTCGCCGTCATGAAGTGCCACGAGCTGCGCGGAAAGAAGAAGGAGGAGCTGACTAAGCAGCTCGAGGAGCTCAAGACTGAGCTCGCCGCCCTGCGCGTGGCCAAGGTCACGGGCGGCGCCGCCAGCAAGCTCTCCAAAATCCGCATCGTGCGCAAGAACATTGCGCGGGTCAACATCGTCATCAACCAGACCACGAAGGAGAACGTGCGGAAGTTCTACAAGAACAAGAAGCACATCCCCAAGGACCTGCGGCCCAAGAAGACGCGCGCCATCCGCAAGGCGCTCTCCAAGCACGAGCGCTCCATCAAGACGAAGAAGGAGCTGCACAGGCTGCGCGCCTTCCCCATGAGGAAGTACGCCGTCAAGGCGTAAAGCCAGCGCCGCGCCACGCAAACTGTCATCGTCATGTGAACCAATTATCAATACAGCGGATGGGAACAGCGTTGCGATGTTTCTCTGGGGACGCGGGAGGTGAAGGGAGCATATCGGAGATGGTGGCTGAAGCTGTGGGCACAACATAGCCGTGAGCCTATAGGCGACAGTACACCGTTATGAACACTAGGTGACGTCATTAGACATTTTGCTTTGCCAACTTTGCTGTTTACACCAATTTGCACAAAGTCTACGGACGTTGATGCACGGCGCCATGACAATTGTACTGGGCATGCAACTACGGAAAGGGGGTTGAAGAAAAGGCTCTGTCTCAAGAAACGCAATGTCTTTGCACTGCAGGCGATAGTAATAATGTCTTAGCCTTTTCGCTCACCAATGGAAAGGGTGGCTTACTGGAGATCGAAAACTGCACGTCATGCTACGTAGATAGATTCATGAAAAGGAATTCAGGAAACATTGCTGTTAAATCTCGTTCGGTATGCGATGATTTCGTCAGGGTGAGGGTGAGGCAAGCGGCTGAGAGCAGCTGCCTAAACTGAGCAGTTTGTCTCATGAATTGAGATGGGTTGTAACTTGTAATGGCACCATGTAGACTTGAGTAGGCACTAAGCCTGCTTCGCAGCAGCATACAGTTGGTACTGTATATTAAGTTCATGATGATGTTTCTTGTTGCCTGTATGTGGTTCCATGGTTGAGGCCGCCCCATATCCGCACGTCATGACTTACCTGCCACCTACCGGTGGGTCTCCGATTCACGCTCTGGCGGTGAGTTGGGGAACTAAGCCTTGTGACGTCATTGTGTGGTGGTTGCGTCATCCTCCATTGATCGCACGGGATTGGTCGCCCTGAGCAGACAGCTGAGCCTCAGAGCTCAGTTCTTTCCACCGCAGACCGGCGAGCGGGCGAGGCGTGTGGGGAATCCTGAGCGGCTGCAGAGTACAAAAACTGGTGAGTGACAGATTCGGGGGTGTCGAATGGATGTTTGTTGAAACGCTAACTGAACATGTTTGCATTTACAGGGTTTTTGCTGGCGTGCTACGCTGTATGGTTAAGTGATGGCTTGTGGAATGTAGTGCGCCTGTGCACTGTCGATAAATCTTACGTAATCCATGAGCAGGCACAGTTAGCAAGTAGTTTATCACTCAAGCTGCCCTGAGTTAGTTGTAATTGATTGTGGGAACTGAAAATGACGGCCAGTGCGTGGGTGAAGTAGGCTGTGTGACGAGCATTTCGCGAGGTAGACTCTGGAACTTTCCATTTCACTTTCCGCGAAGGTGGGGCTGCACCAGTCGCGTCACCAATGCAGATTTGATTCATTCTGGTTGCACATAAGCCCAGGCCTGCTGGCATAAATTTTTGCACTTAATGTTTGGGCTCATTTGGTTTTCTTGGCATATTCTGCCACCGCCCGATGGGTGTCTCGGTTTTTCCCTGGCAAGCTCTCAATATCCTGAGCTGAGGAGTGACGTTGATACTGCGTGCTGTCAGCACGGTATCAGATAGCGCCAATAAGTGGGAGCTTAGCACTTCATGTTGACTGTGACTGCTGTCGTTTAGCTGTGCTGCTGTCTGTCTATCAGCTTCGGTATCAGTCGATAACAGTTTTCTTCGTCTTTTCAGTTTCAGTTTCTTTGCGGGTTACGGGACGTAGCCGCCAGGCAGTGGACATACGGGCCAGCGTAGTTTTTATAAGGTTTCTCATTCAGCTCCCTGGCACCGAGCCCAAGTGTGGTTCAGCTGAGATTTGCAGCCATGCAAATGCTTGGTATGGCTTGCTGAAATCATTAAGTACCTACCTGTAATTGAATTTTAAAGTACCTGTAATGGAAAGTCAATTATTTGTCTTTTCCCACTCCTGTGCATCATGCGCTGGTGATTTCTTTTCGCATAGCGACCAACCGACGTGTGATGAGCCGAAATAAGCTGGCAAGCTTTAGCGAAACCGTGACGTCACGGTTGGCTGCTGCAATACGGTCACTGAGCCGAGCGACCGACTGCCGAGTGCCGTTATTCCTCGGATTCGCTGAAAAGTCCTGAATTTCGCCTATGCCTGCCGTAATCTAGATGTGCCGAATACGAGAAACCGCAGAAGTTGAAGTGGGTCAGATCTTGATCTTGCAATCCCATTCTAGTTTCGATTCTCTGCGAGACGCATCGAATGAAGTTTCCCTTTCGTATTTCAACGTGTTCGGCCTGTTCGCTCTCCATTGTATCACTCTCATCTATGCAGGGTGCAACGGAGCGCTGTGCACGGCTGGCAGTGTATCCGTTCGCCGATGAAACCGCTCAGCTGCCAACTCGTGTGACCTCTGGCACAAGGTGACGCGAATCACGCGCCGGGCGCGTGACGTCATCAGCGCTCCGGCGCACGCCACGCCGCGGATCAGCTGTGTCGCGCTGCGCGGATGTCATTCACCCTTCCGGCCTTGCGCACTTGCGCACTTGTTCCCGCTTTCGTCGTCTATTCCCGTTAGCGATTACGCAACCGGCTCGGAGAAGTGGGTGAGCCACACTCTGACAGCCTTGGAGCGGCGCGTGGGGAAGAGCGCGGCGCCCCCTGTCGGTCAGACGTCACGTGATACCGACGGGGGGATCCATGACGTCATGGGGGGCGGTACGCTCCTTCTGGAGGTCGACGGGCACGTGGTCCCGCCATGACGGCCGCCGCCGCCGAGCGCCGGTGCTAGAGAGCTGGGCGGACGTTGCAGAGTGACGTGGCAGTCCGGACCATGGCCCGACTGGACACTGGTCCAACGTGCAGGCGGTTGCTGAGGGCTCATGGTCTGGTGTTAGAATAGGATGTCGTCGAGTGATTTGGAATGGATATGGCTCATGCATATGCCGTTTTATGAATGGACGTCCGTTTGTATGCGAGTTAGAACTTCGCTCAATATAGTTTTTGACATCGAACAGTAGCGTAGCGCATTGAGAATCGTAAGCCCTTGGCCCAATTATAAGGAGCTAGAGCCAGCCTATTGCAGCTTCAGCTTCAGTACATCGATCGTCTGTCGCCTGCAACACCTGCTCGCCGTTTGACGGCCGCTCCAGTCTCCATCCATCCGTGTCGCCCGTGCCGTCGTCCCGGTGTATAAATACCTGACGTCTCTGGCCACTCTGGGCTGGCCGGCATACGGTGGGCGGGGTCCTTGCCGTGGCGGGCGGCCGGCCAGACGTGCCGCCTGCATATCTGGGTCACTCGTCGGCCACCGACCGGCCGTATCTGCGAGCCGTGACTGACAGCCGGGGATGTGAGCTGGCCGCGGCGGCCGAGAGGTCAGCGGTGGACGACTGGACGGTGTTCCCGCGCGCGCGCGAGAGAGAAAGAGAGAGAGAGAGAGAGAGAGAGAGAGAGAGAGAGAGAGAGAGAGAGAGAGAGAGAGAGAGACGCAGACAGACGAACAGTCCTACATAGACGTGTGTTTGCTGAGATGACTTGCGTCTCTCGGTCATGGTTTGACGGCTCGACGTATCCGATGGTGTAGAAGTGGCCTCATTTCTGCTCATTCTTACAGTATGATGTCCTTGCTGATAGAAGGATACCGATGTTGTTGCGAACGAGAAATGTCACAGAAACTGGTTGTTATCTTTGTTTTCAAGGACAAAAATTTATTGAACCAGGGCCCGTATTCACGTCGGAATTTTTCGTAAGATTTATCTTACGATCGCTCTTTGTCGTACGATAATTTGGTATTCACGTTGGCATCGCAAACAGTTAAGATTTATCTTACGATCAAAATTTTGGTCGTAGACATTTGTCGTACGATCGATCGTAAGTGCGATTCACGTCGGGACCTCTTAAGTCGAATCTTAAGATGATCGTAAGACCTTAATGATGAAGGTATTGGGAAGATACGACTACTCACTGAGCTGTCGTAAGACGTCACCTATGCTTATGAATTGTATATTTAGGTATTGAAATTGTTGTTTATGATTTTTTTTTTCTTGCGAGCGAGCGCGAAAAAGAGTTTTCGATGTAACGGGAAAATATCGGTATGAGCGGTAGAGCTCGGACCGGCCCGCCCTATAACGCTTTTCAGAAACTTTTACCTCGGCCACCGCTGGGCCGATTGAACCGCGGTCTTTTTTGTTTGGTAGCCCCATCCCTCCTACCTCGTAATTGACTACTCTTGATGCACCTGGGTGATCGCCGTGTCATGTGGCTCTTGCGAAGCCAAGGGTGTTAACTCAGAACCCAAAGTCGTTCTGCTGAATTTACGTTTTTGAGAGGATTATGTCTGAGTAAGCACAGGATCAATTTACTAGGAAATATGTTTGTAGGGTATATTCATCCATTCTGCCGAGGACACGACTTTTCTCGGTGCATGTGGGTGACCATGGCTGCACGTGCCACGTGCATAATAAAGAGATGTCATGTTTGTAGCAATTACAATAACTATGTAATTATCGTGCCCATTGCGCTGAAACTTGGCATGTGGGTAGGCACTCATCGGGCAATGCATTTCCATGTGTCACGTTAGGGGTACTACTGCACGAGCGCACGTGCAGTGGTCGCTCCTAGATCTCGGGAACGGCTGGACCCATTGCGCTCAAAATTGGCACACCGGTAGGGACCGCTTAGTAGCGTGCCGGGCAAAAGTCGTTTGGGACCCCGTTTGCACGTGCGCACGTGCAGGAGGCCGCTTCCATATATAGAGAACGGCGAGGCCGATTGCGCCCAAATTTGGTACACCTTTAGGAACCACTTAACCCTATTAGTGGCAGGGGGGGGGGGTGTTTTCATCCACCCCTCAGGTTTTTCGGGAATATCTCCGAAACCGCTGAAGCTACGATGCTGAAATTTTCTGCCTTTTCCTAAAACTAAATTGGGCACATTCCCTGAAAATTTCAAGTTCATACCTTTACCAGGGGCGGCTCCAGAGCACTGGGAATTGGGGGGTCCTATTCGTGAAGCGAGTCATTTGGGCGAAGATCACGATGCTGATGTATTATAACTGTATACACCAGTTTTACGAACAGTGAATGAAAGGTATCAGGTGATAACATATACAAAGTTATTGTGCATCCTCTTTTGACACGTTTTTGCTATAATAGGCGGATCCAGGCGTCCAAAAAGGGGGGTTATGTTTTACCTCCCAACATAGGTGCCCTGACACCGCCTATGCATGACCAATACAATTGTAGTCGTTCTCTCATAAGAAAATTGTAACATAACAAGACCATTGCCACCCTTTTTAGAAACAGTACCAACAAAAACCTTATTTACTATACATACTTTTTGTGTACCCCCAATCTCAATGATCTGTATCCGCCTATGATTTTTGAAAATGCATATTTTTAGGATCCATATGAATTCCTGGTTCATTCTCTATCGATCGGCAAAAGTTGCGTTAAGATTGGTTCAGAAACCTGGCCGTGATAAACAGTCTAAAATGTATCTGCAATTTGCCCGTTTCGCTACCCCCCCCCCCCCTATTGACATTTTTTAATTTTTATTTTTTAGAAATGTAGATCACGTTGAGCGAAATAGAATGCCGTTTGAATTTTGAAAATCGGGCCGTTAGATCTCGAGATATCAGGGGGGGGGGGTCGTAAACAGCCCCCCCCCCCCCTGCCACTAATAGGGGTAGCCAGGAGCCTGCCACTAATAGGGTTAAGACGGTGCCGAGCAAATGTCATTTGTGACTCCGGTTGCACGTGCACGGTCACGGAAAAGAAGCCACAGGTCAATCAGGGGCGAAACGGCCCTTTGCCGTTTCGCCCCTGATCGAGTTAGAGCTTTGCGAGCGTGTTACCCGTGACGAGTGGAAGGCAATAATACCCAGTTTTAAGGTCCTAGGTCATCGGTTGACCTTCCAGGTCAGGTCAATGACCCAAAAGTCGGGAAAATCGGGACCTGTTAGAACGTCGTAAAGTGTGGCTGCTATGAGGGTTTTCAGGGTGCTGATCACGAATGTCATGTTAGTTTTGATCACAGATTATGTCTTTAAGCATTTAGACCAGATCGGGTCAGGTCAGGTCAGGTCAACCGGTAGGGGTTGTGATGGATATTCGTATTACGTGTTGACCGCCTCTGACAGCTTCGTAACATATTACGAAGGCAACAAAACTACTTCGTAAATGTTCAAATGGTTGCTAAATTCGAATTCAGCTCCAAAAACTAGCCTAGAAACATGTAAAACTCGAACAAGTGAACCGAGGTCACCAAAGGTCAGTGACCTGACCTGACCTTCAGGTGACCTTGACATCCACCCTAATGCATGGGAGCAACATCAAATCACATGTTTGAACGTTTGAAACCACGAAAAGCTTGCAAACGCGTGGCTAATGCGAGCCGACATACGCCGAATCGCGATTCCGGCCAAACATGGTCTCGGAAAAGAAGCCACAGGTCAAAGGTCATTTGGGTCTGGGTCATGAAATTTTCAGGGCAGGTGTAAAATTGATCAATGCGAGGGTACTGAAAGTTTTTTTTACGCGAGTTATTCGCGAAAAACCTTGGGTGGGTTGCATCAACCCCCCTGTGCCGGCGAGGGTTAAAATGCATGTTTTATCGATTTATTCTTCATATGATCATTTGTAATATGATAATATAGTTTCCATAATACCTAATGGTAAAATAATTTCCATAATAACTTAGAAGCATACTAAATCTGTGGTACCTTTAATGTTAAGAATAGCTCACTAATAACTGTTTGAATATATTTCGTTTGCTGTATCATTTGACGGAGGATCCATTTTCTATGTCGTCCCGGAATATGCTGCTAAAAATCAAATCTTCGGAACTGCTACATCTTAAGTTGGGTCGTAGGATGAATCCTAGGACTTTTGACATGAATACCAAATTATCTTAAGATTGTCAACGTGAATTAGAAGTGTCCTAAATATCCAGACTGATCGTACGATAAAAAGTTAAGATGGTCAATATGAATACCAAATCGATCGTACGATGAAAACTGATCGTAAGATGTCGACGTGAATACGGGCCCAGATGTTTTATGAAATTTGTTGTTTGTGATTAGGGTTATTCTGTACTTATTTTATTATTTTCAAGCCATTTAATTTTTTGCATTGACGACTGGAGGCACACGTAGGTCAAACGACATTCGTCATCGTTTTGTGTTTCGCTAGGTGTCATGTATTGGGGGAAATACGTTCTGTCCACTTATGCATGCTGTGTACGTTGTAACCCGTTATTGGCCTTCTTTATCACTGAACTTCTTTCTCAGGTAATCAAACATGGTTGAGGTTCCCGCCGGTGACATCGAGAAGGGCAAGAAGGTCTTTGTGCAGAAGTGCGCACAGTGCCACACGGTCGAGGCGGGCGGCAAGCACAAGACCGGCCCCAACCTGAACGGCCTGTTCGGCCGCAAGACGGGACAGGCGCCCGGCTTCTCCTACACAGACGCCAACAAGAGCAAAGGTACGGACCGATACTCTCAGTCGTCCCTAAACATTGGTTCTGATGCGAATATCACTGGCTGTTCCTGCCCTACTGTGTGGAAATTTACTTCGCTGAAAATCGAAATTGTCCTTGAGTGCCAATAAGAGAAAGCCTCTACGTCGAGCCTCTTGGCTATTTCAACTTTCCTATTTCACAACCTGTTATATTGAACATAAAATGTTTGTCATTTTTATTTTGCTGGTACCGAGGAATAGCCACGATGGTATTGCACTTTGAACATCAATAGCGTGTTCATGTTTAAGTGTCTGGCGCAAGTCGCTATCACTTCAAGAACAGCGCATTTCTGATAGCACCTGATGTCTCTGATACGAGTGCGATTGACACTTGGGATATTAACCGCTAATGCCATCAGTTGTTTGCATCATGCACGTCTCGTCTAGCTGAAAATGTCGCATTTGAAAAGATATTAACTTGCCATTTACACTATCTTTCATCTTTGGCTGTGTTCGGTGATAGATTGAAGTAAATCATCATTACACGTTTTTTTTTTTTTGCAAGTTGATTATTGTTGTTTACATAAACCTCATGCATTTCGTTGGGTAGAATTGTATTATTTGCCCCGTCGGGCCTCACAGCCGAACTGACGTTTCTCTTCGATATGCATGCAGCCTTGAACAATGAACATTGAATATGCTAAAGAAGTGTGAGTTGCTGTGTCTGAACCTCTTGCAGCTCCCGGTGCAAATGGCGTATGTATGTCGTATTACCTACTGTAGTGATGCAAAAACTGCAGCTTATTTCACGCTTCGAACTTTTAATTAACGTTTTAGCAAAGCTGTTGATACGGACCTACGGTGATGTAGAAATCGAAGAACGTCAGCGAATCGATAAGCCGCGTGATTACAGACTGTTGTCAGTACATATGTGTGGCTTATGCTGATTTTCCATCCTTCTGTCCGCAGGCATCACGTGGGGCAAGGAGACCCTGTGGGAGTACCTGGAGAACCCCAAGAAGTACATCCCCGGCACCAAGATGGTGTTCGCCGGCCTCAAGAAGAAGGGCGAGCGGGCCGACCTGATCGCGTACCTAGAGGACTCAACCAAGTAGCCGCCAGGCGCTGCACTAGGTCAATGAAGCCTCTGGGAGCTGGCGGCACGCACCGCCATCCGCTCAGGGCTTAGAGAGCGCGCGGGCGGCACGGCACGGCCCGCTCGCCGGCATATTCAAATATCGCAGTGCTGATTCCATCATCATGACATCGGAGTGAGAGACGCGTCGGTGCCGCGCGCCGGCCGGCCCGTCGCCGTCGTTTCCACGCCGTCGGCGGCGACGGCCGGCCGCGCGCGCGGCGCCTCGTGTGCGCGGGGTGGGCCGCCTCGGTCGGGTGGGATGGGTCCTTTGACCGGCCGGGTACACTCACCAGAATACATGATTAAATGTGTGCGGTGTTTGGAAGGAGTTAGTAGAAGAGATGGGGACTGACATGAGAAATCTGCATCTGAGTTTGAGGAGAGACGTTTCCCGTACAATTTCGTACAATTTGCCGTTGACTTCCTTTTAATGGCTGCAGTAAAAATCACGATGTTGCCACTGTCAATTCTGCTCGAACATTCCGACGAGTATTTGACCATCGCATTGAGGTCTGTAGGCCAAACCTATAGGTTCACGGGCTATCGTTGGTCGATGATCGATCCAACCCGAACTACAAATGCCATCAAACTCCGCCTGCGTAGGATGGATAGAGGGCCCGGACAGTCGACTACTGTGGCAATGTGGTCTGACATTCTGTCTGTGGTATCGGAAATCATAGGATCACCCGATCAAATTGTGAGTCATGGGACAATTGGAAACAATGGTGTACCTTTTTCGTGCATCTTGATGCAAACACTCACAAACAAGTCGAGCGAACTATATCATCTGACATCTAAATCATTGCTGCATCTTCTCCGCCCTCGGAGGCACGGTGGGTGACAGTAGCGGTCTGCCCGCCTGAGACCCCGCCAAAGTGATCACCTGCCCACCTGGGAGGGGGGGGGGGGAGGTCTGTCTGGCCGACTGACGGTGGCTGGCTCACGTGACCCCGTGTTGCCGCCTGGCTGGGTGGTTGCCAAAGCGGGAACAGAAATGGAACGTCTGGCTGCCTGCCCGCCACCTGGCGGATGGAGAACGAACTAAGCATCAGCTGTGGGCTGGATGGCAAGGGCGGTGTCGGGGCTGGAGACGTAGAGGGTGACTGAAATTTATAGACGTGTCACGACAACCGCTCACTTGACCGAAGTAACTAGGAAGAGTAGATCACATTCAAATTTGATGACCTATCCGTGCTTCTATCCTCAGGATACTGAAATCCTTCTCCTCCCAACCGCAACCCCCCTCCGGGCTGGACAGGCAACTTTATCTCATGCGGGCTGCTCCCTTGGAGTGGCACCGCTGCTCCCGAGGGAGCGCACCCCGTAGCCGGGTGCAGTGAGTGCCTTGGGGCTGGGTGGCCTGTCCTCTGGACGGGCTCAGCCCCGGCGACTCACTAGGGTGCCTGCCCAGACCAATGTCTCCCCCTATTTCCTATCATCCTTCCGGCTCTGCAATGGTCTTGTCGACCGAAAGGGCCTAACCCAACAAAACAAACAAAAAAATCAAATTTGATACTTCAGTGATGCAATAATGGGTTACATAATGCATCATGATTACATAGGGGAGATCCGTGTAAGACGCCCAGGGTCGGTAAGAGGCCCCATCGCTTTTTTTTACCAAACCAATAATGTTATTTATTTTTTAATGTTCTTGTAAAGCAGAAGCCCTCTTGAAACAACAACTCACGAAACCTGAGGTATCAGGTGCGTCGCAGCGACTTTTGGTAAGCCTGTTTCTGTTTTTGCCCCTTTACTTGCTAGATATATGCATCTTTATCACCCTTATATATCTGAAAAAACAATGACTATCAAATGCAATCTTATCTCATCGAAATTGTCACATGTTAGCTTCAGAATAGACCATGTTCTGGTGCGCTGCAAATGTCTCATAAACCATAAATATTGTGACGTTAAAACACTGCATTTTTTTAAGAGGCCCTCCCTTCGAGGATTATAAAACGCCCCCCGATAAAAAACGCCCCCGATGCTAAAACGCCTGCACCTGCGGCAGGCGTGGCATTCTTTTTTCAAGGAGTTTGTTTTTGTTTCTTTTTTTTCTGTTTCTTTTTCTAGAGGTAATAGGTACAATTTTCGTTGGTCATCAGCGTTTGGTTGTGCTAGTTTTCGCATTGTTCGAGCGCTTTGGAAGTGTTATTGGTTTCGATAACACCGTATTTGCTTAGCTTTTCGAAATAAAAGGCCTTGCAGCTGTGTTCGCAAAACGTCTTTTACAAGTCGACTTGCCTTGTTAAAAGCCCGAGGGGGGGGGGGCGTCTTACCATACCCATAGTGTAAGAGGCCCTTTTGCAACTTTTTCCAAAATGTTAAAGTTTACGGTTTGTGTACCCCCTAGATTCATTTTGAATGCAAATATGTATGGGAAAATGATGCATGCTCACAGCGCATGCACACGTTAGCTCTTAAATATTATCAGTTGTCTAAAAATAGCAACTGAGCTTAAGGGGGGGCCTCCTGCACCACTCTCCCCTAACGGCGGACCGTAGCGGGTGGCTTTATCGTGTCGACTTGCTGGTGGCCGCTCCTGGCAATCAATATAGGCCAGCTAGTAGTTTCTGTGACTGCACTTGCAGTAGTGTCAATGGGTGGGTCTGAGACCAAGTCAACTTTGTTGAGCCTAGCACCTCAGTCTGATCTATGCATACCTATTGGCATGGTCCATAGCAAGGCTATATAAGAGTCCATAGTCTGACGTCGGGTGCTGAATTTCAGGTAGGATGCTGGATGACCTCTAGTCTGTTCTGCTAGATTGGGTCACTAGTACTACGGTCTAATATCTTTGCAACTAGCCTTTGAGTGTCACGATTGGGGGCAGACATTGGACTGATGCAGCCGGCCATTACATAATACATATACGTATACGAGTGTATTACATATACGTAATACATAGTTCGGTGTGCCGGTGCGACAAGGCTCGCTCCCTAAGGTATCTAGCGGCAAGATAGAAGAGGCTGGAGCAGGGCCCTCCTTGGGTTTGTAGGGGCTAGAGCCTAGAGCTGCCAATGGAACAGGGAAGCAATCTTAGAGGAGTTTAGAGGTGTTACGAAGTGCGACTGGAACAGACCTTAGGCCACTGAACCAGCTACCTGGGTCGTCCCCCGGGACAATCTCCATTTCTAGTGACAGCTTAGCCCGCAATAGATGAGGTAGCAGGCCCAAGAAGATGATTAGAAGCCGATTCGGGAAGGACAGTAGATAAGTGATGCGGCATGCCCTCTGTAACTTTTTCAGTACCTACCTAATGTTCGGCCTTTACAGTAGCCCTTGCCGCTTGCCCTGGACCTGGTTACTACGTTCATCCCCGACATTGCTTTCTTCCCTCAGTAGGTACCTACCTAATAGTCTGTAAATGAATAAATGTGAAATTTAACCCTCGCCCGTAAGCGGTGTTTTGCCACCTTCGCCCATGCAGGGGGGGGGGGGTTGGTGCGACCCCCCCCCCCTGGCGTTTGAAAACGAAGCGTCGTAGAGCTTAGCGGAAATGACCAACGGATTGCTCTCAACGAGATCTCACGATTGGTGGTATATTTTTTGGTCCTAGGTCAACATTTAACCTACTTATGACCGGTCAAAGGTCAAATTTTCGAGAAAAAAATCTAACTTTTTCAGATTTCCGCGCCGATTGCGGCAAAACGGTAAGAGATATCGACTTGAAACCTTCACTATCGTGATCCTTGATCAATTCTCTATCGTTTGGTGTGTATTTCGATGTCATAACTCTAAAAATGATGCGTTGGGAGCATCGGAAGTCTGCAAGGTCATTTGTGCATTGGGTCACGTCAGGCGTGTGACGTCACTGACCTGACCCTGACCCAAAATGAACTACAAGAAACAACCGACGATGCCTGAAATGGATAGCAAATTCGAATTCAGGGCATCAAAATACCCCGAAAAGGCATACAAGTGCAAGAAGTCATTACAGGTCAACCGAGGTCACTGACCTTACCTTGACCTTAAGTGACCTTCAAAATGTCAACGGACATTGTGTCAATGTCAAATCATCCAGTTGTGATTCTAAAACAAAACAATCCATCAGTGCGTCAGGTCAGTCGGCATTTACATATACCTACCAATGTGAAGCAATCTCCAATTTAGCGTAAATCTGGCCGGAGGTTGTTCCCTTTATGACGTCATAACTCCGTGACCTGACATGACCTTGACAAAAAATATCAAAAGTTGCGCAAAGGATGCCCCAAAGGGTACTGAAAATTTGACCAGACTATCTGAAACGGTTCGGCGTGTAGCTAAGAAAAACCTCAGGGGGAGGGGTTGCACCCCCCCCCCCTACATGGGCGAGGGATATTTCCTATAAGCCCAACCCATACACGACCCCATGGCCCGGCCCGAGGTGCTCGGGTGGTATCGTTGCGTAAGGAATCGCTTCAGCATCACGATAGGGAGCGCCCTTGTTCAGACAAGAGAGGACGCCAGAATAGGGCTCTGGCCTCCGGGGCAGAGGACGTTTATGTCACTTGTGTTTGAGCTACAATGGTATCAGGGACGTAGGTAGCCAAGCGGGAGGGGTGTGGGCACGGGGGCCATGCCCCCCTAAAGACGAGAAATAAAATAGAATAAAACAAAAAATAGATAAAAACAGCTGCACCACTAACCCCCAAAAATAGTGGGCCAAATCCGAAGTTTTCCTTTTTGGAGGGGGTACGACACCTGTGGCCCCTGTGGCCCCTCCCTGAACAAAATCCTGGCTACGTGCCTGCATGCCGCATGGTATAGGAACTCTTTGATTCACCAAGCACTTGAGTGGCTGTTCGTCTGTCTATTTAGCTGAGATCAGGGTTGTGCTTGACTCATGAGTCGCGTCAGAGATTTGACTCAACTCTTGACTCAAATGAGTCAGATTTGAGTCGAGTGGCGGATAAAATGTTGAGCTGTTGAGTTGAGTCAGAGTTGGGTCAGACAAAAATATTAAGGTGTTGAGTTGAGTCAGAGTCCAGGCGCGCACACAGGATTTTTTAATGGGGGGGGGGGCACGACCTTCGAACTGGGCCCCCCATGCCGAAGGCCCCCCCCCAAAAAAATATGGCCCACGGGGCTATATTTCGGTTGGTTTGGAGCTTGAGCAATTGGTTTGTCAATGCATGGTAAAACAATTATTTCGGTACCAGCAGCTTAACCCTCGCCCGTAAACGGCGATCTGCCACCTTCGCCCATGCAGGGGGGGGGGGGGGTTGGTGCGACCCCCCCCTTGGCGTTTGAAAACGGAGCGTCGTAGAGCTTAGCGGAAAAGACCAACGGATTGCTCTCGCCGAGATCTCGCGATTGGTGGTATATTTTT